AACAAAGTTAGCTTTGACTTTGAACTTGAAGAGCCTTCCTTCTGAAGCCTTTTTGAAATGAGACCTCTACCATGCTTCAGAGGCCCAGAGTCTTTGGAAATGCATAGAACATTCTAGTCTCTGGCTCGTAGCCCTTGGGCTAGCATTCTGTTCCCCCACTGAATTATCACGGCAGATGGGACCCTGGCTCTTCTGAGAAGTCTCCAGGAGAACTTGTCACATCAGTCTCCTGAGGTCGTTGCAGCTGTAAGGCCCGGCTAGGACCCATGAGCCTGAGGACACTGGGGCAGGACACCTCCACCACGCGGTCATGAGCAAGACTACAAGCAACTCTTCACTGTAAGTCTGTTCTTTGGCAAGACTCTGCAGCAGCTATGGAGGAAGGGTAGGCGAGCATAAGGTTTACGGATTAATCCATCAAAGCACGTCCCTTCCAGGGGACTGTGGAGACAGAGGGAGAGGGAGAGAGTAAGGGGGAAAAAAGAGTTGGTAAGTATTTGAACTATTTGCAAAACTTGCTTGGATGACAGGGAATAAAACAAAAAGAACATGAGGGGGACCAGCACCTCATTCCCCCAGGGTACTCTTGAGCAAGGAAAAATTAAGAATATGTAGATAGAAGTATAGAGAAGAGAGACAGATAGAAAACACAGGATAGCCTCGGGAGGGCCTGGGTCATTATCCACCAGCCCCTTCTGTCTCTACTAAAGGGCTTTTAAAGAAATGCCAAGGGGTAGCCCAAAAGACCTCCCCCCCCCCAGCATAGCCAAGTACAGACCCTTCCAGATACCTGGTGACCATGCACATAGGCAAGCCATCCCCTAATGCAGCCCTGCTGAGTAAAGACAAGCTCAGACCTCACCAGGAAACCTTTGTGGGCTCCCACAAGAACACAAACTGTAGAATGCCTTCTTTATCTACAGGAGATAGATAGACCCCCATGCCCAGGGGACACTTGAAACACAGATAGTACCAAGCTCTATGTATGTACACTGAAATTCCATAACCATTGACTTGATGATTAAGACAGCCACCAGGTACTTGGTAGATACAGCCTGGATTGGGTAAGGTCCACTGTCACAGAATATTATTTTAAGGTGTGTTACTTTTGTTTATGTTGCATTTGTTTAACTCTCTGAAGCTGTGTTATCTTGCCCGTATAAAACATCTGATGGTCTAATAAGGAGCTGAATGGCCAATAGCAAGGCAGGAGAAAGGATGGGCGGGGCTGGCCGGCAGAGAGGATATATAGGAGGAGAAATCTGGGGAGAAGAAAGAAGAACAGCGTAAGAGTGAAAGTAAGATTTACAGAAGTAAGAGAAAGGAAAAAGCCCAAAGGAAAAAGGTAGACAGGATAATTTAAGTTAAGAAAAGGGGGCCAGGCATTTGTAATTAAGAATAAGCCTCTGTGTGATTTATTTGGGAGTTGGGTGTCAGGCCCCTTAAAAGAGCTAAAAAGCCAAAAGTGTAAAGAGTTAAAAAAACAACCAACGACAGTCCACAGGGTGGATTCACTGGACAAAGAGTGTAGCAAGATTTATCACATTGCTAGGAAAGGACTGTAACTTAAAACTCACCAATTGTTTGCTTCTGGAACTTTCCATTTGCTATTTTTGGAGAACAGCTGACCACGGCTGGTGAAACCACAGAATGCGAAACCTCAGAAAGCAAACCCGAGGTTAATGGGCAAGTGTGAGAAGCAGACTAGGGGACAATGGGGGTCACATGTGGAGTTCTTACTGGGGGGAGAGTTGTGCCCAAGCCCTGTGGTGAGAAAGACCCTGCACGTTCAAGGATCTGAAAGGAAGTCCAGGAAGCAAAGATCAATGTGGTCGCACAGGAGCTGGAAATGGTTCAAGGATCTGAAAGGAAGTCCAGGAAGCAAAGATCAATGTGGTCGCACAGGAGCTGGAATGGTGGGGCCATTTAGATGGAGCCTCCTGGGCCATGTCAAGGGGATTTTACTTTCTCCTGAGCACCATGGCGGGTGTGTGTGTGTGTGTGTGTGTGTGTGTGTGTGTGTGTGTGTGTGTGTGTGTGTGTGTGTGCTGAGCACAGGCAGTGGATGGGCACATGCTCAGGTGTTTGGGGGAACTGGAGTTACACCAAGGGAAGCAGTTTCTTTCCTGTGAGACTCCTGGACATGCGCTGAGACCCTCTGTGGAACTGAGAGACAAGGGCAGGTTTTCTCAACCTCATTGACTGCAGGATGCCTTCAGGGTTTTTTTTTTCCCACCACTCCCTATATGATCCCCAGATTCCATCATCTGGAATACCATTTTGGGGAACCCTGATCAGGTAGAAGCTGAGATTGGGGCTTCCCAGGAGTATGTGGGTATGGAATATACTCCTATCTGGGCCCCTTGTGAACAGACCTCTGCCTGGATTCTCCTACAGCCAGGGACAGGCTCTGTTCCCTGTCCTGTTTGTATGTGATCTTCTGGTTAACAGAGATACTGCGCTACATACTGAAGCCGACATAGGAGCCTGCCGACAGGCACTTCGTGATTTTCTATCATTATATCCCCCCGCCCCCGAAAAAATCATTCTGAATTTTATGTAGCTTTAGGAAGTGAAAACAAATTTTCATTTTGTTTTAGCAAGACATGGTGAAGCCACTGAATGTGACTCTTAAACTCTTAGCAGTTAATTCTGCTGTGTTTATTTTTCTTTTTGGAAAGATGGGAAAGAGTGATCTAAAGTTATCTGTAAAAGGTCGGTGTGACATCCTCCACCCCTGTCAGGCATGCCTTTTTGGCTGATATTATAATCATAGTCATGACAAACTGGAATGGCTAATTTTAGAAAACATTTTTTCCATGAAGTAGGAGTGAAATGGTAGCTTGCCCACAAATGATGGATGAGATGATTCCATGTACAAAAGACTCTTAGTTGACAAAACAGAAGCTGGAAGATTCAATTACCAGGTTCTAACATCTCTTCCATTTTTCTTTTTTGTTTTATTCATTTGTGTGTGTGTGTGTGTTGTTGTTGTTGTTGTTGTTGTTGTTGTTGTTCTGTTTTGTTTTGAGCAGGCCTTCATGTTGTTCATGCTGGCCCTGAACTCACTATATAGCCAAATATAACTGTGAGATGATGGGAGCTTTCTGATCCTCCTTTACATTCCAAATGTGGATATGACAATTGCATACCACTGTGCCTGGCTTTGTACTGTGCTGGAGATCAAACCCAGGGCTTCATGCACACTGAGTAAATACCCTACCAACTGAGCTATATCCCGAACTCCCTAAAATCTTTTTTTTTTGAAGCCAGGTGCAGTGGTACGCATCTGTTATCCCAGCACTTGAGAGTCAAAAAGGCAAGAGGATTGTTTATGAATTTGAGAAAAGCTAGGGCTATGTAGTGAGATTCTGTCTCAAAAAATAGCAAGACGATAAAATGCCTTTTGGAAACCTTCCCAGCACAGCCTCCTAGTGACGATTTTCTCAGCAGTGGTCAGACATTTCACATTTCTTTGGGTACAGCTTAAGCCAGAGAGGACATTGTCTACTTCCAGGAGTCAATCTCTTCCTGGAAACTCCAAACAGAAAAATGGACAAAAGTGTCACTGGAAGAATCAAGCCCCAAATGTGGTCTGAATCCCCCACGAAGGTGCCAGGATCCTCCAGAGGAGCATTTAGCCTTGTACAAGATGCATAAATCAGCTTCTGCAGCAGCAACAGCAGCAGCAGCTTCACAGATGTCTGGGCCAGCACACGGCACTGCCTGAACAGAATCGATGGCACCTGTTAGGGCCTTAGAGGGGGAAGACATAATACTGCTTCTGTCTGTGTGAAAGTAAGGACACGGGCAGAGAGACAGCTAAGCTGGCAGTTTTATTGGTAGTAGCCGGATCGGAGGGTATGACCGCTATGAGATTCCGTAGCATATGTGTCCATGAGGAACTGATTCCCCTCAATCAGTTCCTGGGGCTGGCGGGAGCTTTCAGCATCGTGCAGAGTAAATGGAAGCAAGCTCCCTCTGCAGACCCTGATCAAAGAGACTCAGCATGCTCAGCTTCCCACTCCAACCCCAGCCAAAGATACTGTGGTGGTTGGGCAGGAAAAGGCACCTACGGGCTCATGCTTAGTCACCAAGGAGTGGAACTGTTGGAAGATTAGAAGGGTTAGGAGGTATGGTCTCATTTGAGGAAGCGCATCACTGGGGGTGGGCTCTGAGGCTTTCAAAAGCTCACACCAGGCCAAGTCTCCCTCCCCACAACACACACACACACACACACACACACACACACACACACACACGCCTGCACATCAGGATGTAGCCCTCAGCTCCTACCCCAGAGTCATGCCTGCTGCCCTGCTCCTCACCACGATGACAATGGACTCACCCTCTGAAACTGTACGCAAGTCCCCAGTTAAATGTTTTCTTTTATAAGAGTTGCCTTGGTCATTGTAGTAGTTTGAATGAGCGTGCCCCCCCATAGGGTCTCATATATTTGAATGTGTAGTCATCAGAAAGTGGCACTACTTGAGAAGGAATAGGAGATATGGCCTTGCTAGAGGAAGTGTGTCACTAGGTGTGAGCATTAAGATTTCAAAGACCCAAGCCAGGCCCAGTGTCTTTCTTTTCTCCTGCTGCCTGTGGATCTGGATGTAGAACTCTCAGTTACTTCTCCAGCCCCAATGTCTGCCTGTGTGCCGCCATATTTCATGCCATGATGATGATAATGGACTGAACCTCTGAAACTGTAAGCCAGCCCCGATTAAGTGTGTTCTTTTGTGAGAGTTGCCGTGGTCATGGTGTCTCTTCACATCAGTAGAACAATAACTGAGATAGCCATGGTGTCTCTTCACAGAAACAGAACACTGACTGCAACTGTGCCCTTTTTTCCCTCCACAGCACCATGAGTGGAGATGAGGAAGAAGGGTTCTTCCTAGTCTTGCCATTCATGACATTGCAGCAGATCACATTCCTTCTCTAAGAACTGTTCCCCACAGTCATACCCATCGTGACTGTAGCAAGAATGGCGAACCCTTGACAATAGCTGCTCACAGATGGAGGTCAGTGTCAATCAATCCCAGGAGGGTATCACAAGCATCACACTCATCTTACAGGTCAAAAAAAAAAAATATTTTGTGAGGTCAATTACCCACTTGATACGCTACCACTTAAACCCAACAATGCCAAGCACATTGCTACATTGCCTTGAAATCAGGCCCAAGAGTAAACTAAGAATCTAGTTTCCGTAAAAGCTAGTCAATTTGCCTTGGAAATACTTGTTGGCACATTACAAGCTATCATCAGAAAACCATAACTACAAGTTAGCACTTCTGATTCCCAGGGTCCAGGAATGCCTTCAGTGGGTCGGCCCTAGATGA